CTTAAATTGTCTCCAAAATACAAAGACAAAAGCCCAGTCCTACAACCATGACCGATATGAAAAGTCCTTTTGTATTCAGTAGGATCACTCACGCAGATAAGAACTGCACTGAACCCAAAGGAGAAGAATTAATCTCTTGTTTAATGGCTTCCGTATAGAAATGTCAAGTACAAAGCTATGTTTGTAGAAGTAATTTTTCATGAAATGTGCTACTCCGACACTTCAACAATCAGACTTCAGCTACTGTAACATAATCTTATGCAAGTAATTACATTAAGAAGCTGTAAAATACTTATAGTCAAAAACTTAAAAGGGCAAAGACTCCCAAAACATCAGAAATGCTGGAAGGCTAAGGTTGCTAAACTTAAAAATAGTTATAAAAACCTTCCACGTGAGAAGTACTGCACAGGCTCACTGACTACACCTAAAAGAACAATATTGCAAGTAAAAGCCAGCTGATCCAAAAATGGCCCAAGAGGTCATAGATTGCTGTGCCAAGACAGAAAAAAATTTTGATTTAGTGAGAGTGCAAAAAACCGCCCAACAAAATTACGTTTTGCAAAAAAAGATAGACTGAGGAAAAGGCAGGCAAATGCTTGATGTGAAAAGATAACTCGGAAGCAAATTTAAAGATCACGCTAAAAGAAGTGTAGCAGTAGCTTAAGCTGTACCCAGCAAAGAATTTTGTTAATGTCTCATAATTTACACACAGAGGAAGAAAAGAGAGAATCTCAGCTATGAATTTTCAAGGTAAGAGAAAGAATGACACGGATTTAAAAGGAGCGTGAAGTTACTTACGTTAGAAACAAATGTGGTATATTGCTAACAATGAACTGTATAGCAGGGTTTGGAACCATTACATTGCAAGAACAATATACACAGTGGAACCAAAGGATTTGTGAAAAGGAAAGAGGAGCTTTGACAGCATGCAAAAAGACACTGTGGAAATGAAAATGGGAAAGCACTTGTGCTAGATGACGTGTGCAGTAGGTACGCTGACGTTGAGACTGGAAGATGTCCGACGTATGACACATCTATTCAGTGCCATATAACGTCAGCAGGCGAACGTAGGTTTGTCTCACCTATAATTCAACATAAAGAAAATATTACACTGTGCATTGATCACTGCTGAATTGAGATGGCGCTGCACGCCGGCGTGCTTTGGAAAGGACTGATAGCAATCAGCTGCCTGAACCAGCTGAAGTTTGGTCATCATAATCGAACCCAGCGAATGGCATACAACACCATGCATCTCTTCATATACGCCAGACTGATGAAATCCAGCTCTCCGCTGAACTACTAGACAGAAACAGATGCATGCTGGAAAGAGGCGTCTATCTCATGCAGGATACGTTAGCCAAACTGACCTTCTGTGCCAAATCGACTGGCGCGCAGCGCAAAAACTGGGGGTAAACGAGAGCCCGCATCAGGAGCCAGCGCTGGGTCCTGCTGACCTTGTGGAGCCAGGGATGTGACAGACGAGGAGGGAAAGGGGTCACGTTCTGCTGACACAGCGACAGTCCCCAAAATGCCTGGTGACCTGCTGAGCGCAACTTTGAGCTGGGCTTGGGCACTTTTTACAGTGAATTTCAGCGTCTGGTTAATCAGGGAGAGTGCCCCTCCACCCTAGGGATACCACAGGAAGGCACCTCAGAAGAGCGAATAAATTCAAATACCGTGTTTCAGCGGTTACTGCTCCTGGTGCTCTCTGCCGCCATTCCTGATACTGCATCAAAGCTTCTTAAAGCAAAGAGCAGATGCTGACACTAATCCTAGATAATAAAAGGTTCTAATAAAATGAAAAATTAAAATCAATGTATGCGTAATGTAAGAGACAGACTTGGTCATTCACATGAAGTGAAGTGAATACAGAAATAAAAGAAACTGAAATTAAGACGAGTTGATTCAATGACAAGGAAGCAATATAGCGATATAGGTTGATAAAATACATGACAAAAATATGAACTTAAAGGTTGCTCCAGCTAAAGATAAATTGAGGGACAGATTCTATACTGTACATAGAAAAAGATGTTGATGTAGCTGGGATGAATATGGATCAGACTTACTGAATTTTTCCAGAAGTAAAATAAAAAGCGGCATCTTTTATACACTTAACTCTTTAACCAAATATATTTAAAAATGTATTTAAAATGTACTGATTGTTTTATATTTAATATTTCTGTAAGGCACTGTTTTATCTTTTATCCATTCTAACAACACGAGTAACCTCCATGTTTGTAAAATCATTGACATTTACAAAGTAAAACCTGTATCTGTGACATTAGCTTATGGGATTTACTCATTTTCGCTCAAGAACGAGTGTCCAGTCTTCTGAACAACTTTTACCCTTGATGAATTTGTGCCCCTATCTGTACCAGACGATCGCACAGGTTTTGCAAACCACTGCATTCCTGATGTCCACATCGTTATCTCCTTAGAGAGTCTAGAAACAGCATCTGAA